TTTCCACTCCTAAATCACTCTCACTCAGATTCCTGCAATTACATTCCATTAATGGTGTTAATGGAATTAATTAATGGATCCAGCAATGGTGCCTTTCATCCCAGAAGACATTTTCTGGTCTTCTTTCTCCCTTCCCATCTCTATTACTTTGCACTTAATAGGAATGAACTCCCGCAACCCCTTTGTCCAGTCTTGGAGTTTAAGGTTGCAGACTGCAACATTCTGAAGTCCTCCTCTGATTTTACTTTTCTCATGATTTTATCATCGTCCGCAAACACTTACACGTTGGAGATAACTTCCTCAGGGAGTGAGCGTGACAGTGGCTGTCGTATATTGGTGGTGCTCGTGTAGATGTATTGTCTCAGTCTGGTAATACTCCTTGTATGAGGTGGTGCAGCTGTGGGTGTATTGATGGTGTGTGAGGGTGGCTGTATGAGGTCGTGCAGCTGTGGGTGTATTGATGGTGTGTGAGGGTGGCTGTATGACGTGGTGCAGCTGTGGATGTATTGATGGTGTGTGAGGGTGGCTGTATGAGGTGGTGCAGCTGTGGATGTATTGATGGTGTGTGAGGGTTGCTGTATGAGGTGGTGCAGCTGTGGGTGTATTGATAGGGTGTGAGGGTGGCTGTATGAGGTGGTGCAGCTGTGGGTGTATTGATGGTGTGTGAGGGTGGCTGTATGAGGTGGTGCAGCTGTGGGTGTATTGATGGTGTGTGAGGGGTGGCTGTATGAGGTGGTGCAGCTGTGGGTGTATTGATGGTGTGTGAGGGTGGCTGTATGAGGTGGTGCAGCTGTGGGTGTATTGATGGTGTGTGAGGGTGGCTGTATGAGGTGGTGCAGCTGTGGATGTATTGATGGTGTGTGAGGGTTGCTGTATGAGGTGGTGCAGCTGTGGATGTATTGATGGTGTGTGAGGGGTGGCTGTATGAGGTGGGGCAGCTGTGGATGTATTGATGGTGTGTGAGGGGTGGCTGTATGAGGTGGTGCAGCTGTGGGTGTATTGATGGTGTGTGAGGGGTGGCTGTATGAGGTGGTGCAGCTGTGGGTGTATTGATGGTGTGTGAGGGTGGCTGTATGAGGTGGTGCAGCTGTGGGTGTATTGATGGTGTTTGAGGGTGGCTGTATGAGGTGGTGCAACTGTGGATGTATTGATGGTGTGTGAGGCGTGGCTGTATGAGGTGGTGCAGCTGTGGGTGTATTGATGGTGTGTGAGGGTGGCTGTATGAGGTGGTGCAGCTGTGGGTGTATTGATGGTGTGTGAGGGGTGGCTGTATGAGGTGGTGCAGCTGTGGGTGTATTGATGGTGTGTGAGGGTGGCTGTATGAGGTGGTGCAGCTGTGGGTGTATTGATGGTGTGTGAGGGGTGGCTGTATGAGGTGGTGCAGCTGTGGGTGTATTGATGGTGTGTGAGGGTGGCTGTATGAGGTGGTGCAGCTGTGGGTGTATTGATGGTGTGTGAGGGGTGGCTGTATGAGGTGGTGCAGCTGAGACATTGTAGTGTCTCATTGTGTTGTAGTGTCTCAGTGTGTTGTAGTGTCTCAGTGTGTTGTAGTGTTTCAGTGTGTTGTAGTGTCTCAGTGTGTTGTAGTGTCTCAGTGTGTTGTAGTGTCTCAGTGTGTTGTAGTGTTTCAGTGTGTTGTAGTGTCTCAGTGTGTTGTAGTGTCTCAGTGTGTGTTGTAGTGCCTCAGTGTGTTGTAGTGTCTCAGTGTGTTGTAGTGTCTCAGTGTGTTGTAGTGTCTCAGTATGTTGTAGTGATCCATAACTCCAGACACAATGTGTTGTTGTGGTATATAATCTAATGTGAGGATTGTTGTCCTTGCTTCACTACGTGTCGTGTGGAGTGAGGTTATGGTCACAATATTCAGTGTCACTGTGACGTTGTCTACTGCTGGCGGTGGTTCTCTCGCTTGTGCTGAATCAATGCTAAAAGCGTTTTGCAACTCTATAAATATTTACCTTCATGAATCCCTCTCTCAGAATCAGTTCATTTGGCCAGTTTTTTCTTCTGTTCCTGGAGGTCTATTTTTATTCTTGTTTTTTTTTAATAAATGATGAATGACTTACAGCCGAGGCCCAGTTCATAAAAAAAATCAGCTTGGAATTTTTACTTTTACCTTGTTCATAGCTGCTAAATGTGGATACATACTCATATTTTAGGACTTCACTCATTCCTCATTTTGTGGAAACATGCTTTTTATTTAGGAGAAAATGCTTATAGGCTTTCCACTTTTCATTAACGACTTTTTCATTTTTAAATATTTATTTTTATTTTTAAATCGTGTTATGACTGCGTAAGGGCTTATTTATTTTGTTAATTATACTGAGATTCATCAACGTGGCCTGCACGTCCCTGGGAATGGTGTACGAGGAACCACATTGTACATGAACATGTTGGCCTCATTATCCCCGCTACATAAGTCACCATACCACGCATAGGCTTCACCTGTTAGGCCTTTGAGGCGCAATAATTTTACAGGCGAAATATCAATAATCTCCGTGACGCAGTGGTAACACACCTGTCTGGCGCCTCGCAACCGATTTGGCCTGGGTTCGTATCCTGGCCTGGGAGGATTGACTAGGCGTCAATCCTTACCTGTACGCCTCTCTTCACCCATCAGTGAATGGGTACCTGGCTGTTAGAGTTGGCGGGTCGTATTCCAGGGGTCATTAGGGTTAAGGACCTGCCCGAAGCACTCCCTGTTAGTGGCTGTACAAGACTATAAGAACTCTTGTATATATAAGTCAATTCAAATTATAATATCTTAGGAAAATAAATAAATTGAACAATTGGTTTTTGTTTTAATTAATTGTAATTACATTTAAAATGTAATAAGTGGACTTCAGTGTTCATGAATGAGAAATATATTTTCAAGATGTTTATCATTATTATTCACCGGTTGAACTGACTCTTAAAGAGTGTAGTTGTGGGTGTTCTGTTGAACAGACTCTTAAACAGTGTAGTTGTGGGTGTTCTGTTGAACAGACTCTTAAACAGTGTAGTTGTGGGTGTTCTGTTGAACAGACTCTTAAACAGTGTAGTTGTGGGTGTTCTGTTGAACAGACTCTTAAACAGTGTAGTTGTGGGTGTTCTGTTGAACAGACTCTTAAACAGTGTAGTTGTGGGTGTTCTGTTGAACAGACTCTTAAACAGTGTAGTTGTGGGTGTTCTGTTGAACAGACTCTTAAACAGTGTAGTTGTGGGTGTTCTGTTGAACTGACTCTTAAACAGTGTAGTTGTGGGTGTTCTATTGAAAAGACTCTTAAACAGTGTAGTTGTGGGTGTTCTGTTGAACAGACTCTTAAACAGTGTAGTTGTGGGTGTTCTGTTGAACTGACTCTTAAACAGTGTAGTTGTGGGTGTTCAGTTGAACAGACTCTTAAACAGTGTAGTTGTGGGTGTTCAGTTGAACAGACTCTTAAACAGTGTAGTTGTGGGTGTTCTGTTGAACAGACTCTTAAACAGTGTAGTTGTGGGTGTTCAGTTGAACAGACTCTTAAACAGTGTAGTTGTGGGTGTTCTTTTGAACTGACTTTTAAACAGTGTAGTTGTGGGTGTTCTGTTGAACAGACTCTTAAACAGTGTAGTTGTGGGTGTTCTGTTGAACAGACTTGTAGTCAGTGTAGTTGTGGGTGTTCTGTTGAACAGACTCTTAAGCAGTGTAGTTGTGGGTGTTCTGTTGAACAGACTCTTAAGCAGTGTAGTTGTGGGTGTTCTGTTGAACAGACTGTCAGTGTGACTGTTCTCCAACTAAACAGACACAGAGTGTGACTGTGTGTCAAAAAGTGTACATTATGTTGTACAGAGGAACTGTGTTCTCATATTGAACAGACTCGTATACAGTGTGACTTGTGTGTGCTCGCGTCTTGGAGAGGTTGCTGGGTGTAATAATGTGTTATTGAACTAGTGCACATAACACCAGCTGGACGTTCCCAGGTATAAATGATCAGTAATATTGTTCACTCGTGCACGAACGACAGTTTCTTGAACGGTTCCATTTGTGTTCTAATTTGTTTTGACAAAACACAATACCATCAATTAATTATCATAACTGATCTGAAAAAAGTTAATCTTTATTAATAATAAAAATCCGATTCTGAGTAATATAGATATGTTAATATTAACTTTTAAATTTTTGGGTAAAATGTACAATAAGGCGTTTGATCAATTTATCACAATTTAAATGTCGAGCAGCATAGTATATCTCCGTTAACAAATTGTATATATGATTTATTACCCATAAACTAATCCACGTCGCCATGAAGACCATGGAAATAATTCATGGCCTCTCATATGTCTGGCTTGACAGGTGGCCCGAGTCTGGCTTGACAGGTGGCACGAGTCTGGCTTGACAGGTGGCACGAGTCTGGCTTGACAGGTGGCACGAGTCTGGCTTGGCAGGTGGCACGAGTCTGGCTTGACAGGTGGCCCGAGTCTGGCTTGACAGGTGGCCCGAGTCTGGCTTGACAGGTGGCACGAGTCTGGCATGACAGGTGGCCCGAGTCTGGCTTGACTGGTGGCCCGAGTCTGGCTTGACAGGTGGCACGAGTCTGGCTTCACAGGTGGCACGAGTTGACAGGTGGCACGAGTTGACAGGTGGCCCGAGTCTGGCTTGACAGGTGGCCCGAGTCTGGCTTGACAGGTGGCACGAGTCTGGCTTGACAGGTGGCACGAGTTGACAGGTGGCCCGAGTCTGGCTTGACAGGTGGCCCGAGTCTGGCTTGACAGGTGGCACGAGTCTGGCTTGACAGGTGGCACGAGTTGACAGGACGCCCGAGTCTGGCTTGACAGGTGGCCCGAGTCTGGCTTGACAGGTGGCCCGAGTCTGGCTTGGCAGGTGGCACGAGTCTGGCATGACAGGTGGCCCGAGTCTGGCTTGACAGGTGGCACGAGTCTGGCTTGACAGGTGGCCCGAGTCTGGCTTGACAGGTGGCCCGAGTCTGGCTTGACAGGTGGCACGAGTCTGGCTTGACAGGTGGCACGAGTTGACAGGTGGCCCGAGTCTAGCTAGACAGGTGGCCCGAGTCTGGCTTGACAGGTGGCACGAGTCTGGCTTGACAGGTGGCACGAGTTGACAGGTGGCCCGAGTCTGGCTTGACAGGTGGCCCGAGTCTGGCTTGACAGGTGGCACGAGTCTGGCTTGACAGGTGGCACGAGTTGACAGGTGGCCCGAGTCTGGCTTGACAGGTGGCCCGAGTCTGGCTTGACAGGTGGCACGAGTCTGGCTTGACAAGTGGCACGAGTCTGGCTTGACAGGTGGCACGATTCTGGCATGACAGGTGGCACGAGTCTGGCTTGACAGGTGGCACGAGTTTGGCATGACAGGTGGCCCGAGTCTGGCTTGACAGGTGGCACGAGTCTGGCTTGGCAGGTGGCACGAGTCTGGCTTGGCAGGTGGCCCGAGTCTGGCTTGACAGGTGGCCCGAGTCTGGCTTGACAGGTGGCACGAGTCTGGCTTGACAGGTGGCACGAGTCTGGCTTGGCAGGTGGCACGAGTTGACAGGTGGCCCGAGTCTGGCTTGACAGGTGGCCCGAGTCTGGCTTGACAGGTGGCACGAGTCTGGCTTGACAGGTGGCCCGAGTCTGGCTTGACAGGTAGCACGAGTCTGGCTTGGCAGGTGGCACGAGTCTGGCTTGGCAGGTGGCCCGAGTCTGGCTTGACAGGTGGCCCGAGTCTGGCTTGACAGGTGGCACGAGTCTGGCTTGACAGGTGGCACGAGTCTGGCTTGGCAGGTGGCACGAGTTGACAGGTGGCCCGAGTCTGGCTTGACAGGTGGCCCGAGTCTGGCTTGACAGGTGGCACGAGTCTGGCTTGACAGGTGGCCCGAGTCTGGCTTGGCAGGTGGCACGAGTTGACAGGTGGCCCGAGTCTGGCTTGACAGGTGGCCCGAGTCTGGCTTGACAGGTGGCACGAGTCTGGCTTGACAGGTGGCACGAGTCTGGCTTGACAGGTGGCACGATTCTGGCATGACAGGTGGCACGAGTCTGGCTTGACAGGTGGCACGAGTCTGGCATGACAGGTGGCCCGAGTCTGGCTTGACAGGTGGCACGAGTCTGGCTTGGCAGGTGGCACGAGTCTGGCTTGGCAGGTGGCTCGAGTCTGGCTTTACAGGTGGCCCGAGTCTGGCTTGACAGGTGGCACGAGTCTGGCTTGACAGGTGGCACGATTCTGGCATGACAGGTGGCCCGAGTCTGGCATGACAGTTGGTCCTAGTCTGGCTTGACAGGTGGCCCGAGTCTGGCTTGACAGGTGGCACGAGTCTGGCTTGACAGGTGGCACGAGTCTGGCTTGGCAGGTGGCACGGGTCTGGCATGACAGGTGCCACGAGTCTGGCATGACAGGTGGTCCTAGTCTGGCTTGACAGGTGGCACGAGTCTGGCTTGACAGGTGGCCCGAGTCTGGCTTGACAGGTGGCCCGAGTCTGGCTTGACAGGTGGCACGAGTCTGGCTTGACAGGTGGCACGAGTTGACAGGTGGCCCGAGTCTGGCTTGACAGGTGGCCCGAGTCTGGCTTGACAGGTGGCACGAGTCTGGCTTGACAGGTGGCACGAGTTGACAGGTGGCCCGAGTCTGGCTTGACAGGTGGCCCGAGTCTGGCTTGACAGGTGGCACGAGTCTGGCTTGACAGGTGGCACGAGTTGACAGGTGGCCCGAGTCTGGCTTGACAGGTGGCCCGAGTCTGGCTTGACAGGTGGCACGAGTCTGGCTTGACAAGTGGCACGAGTCTGGCTTGACAGGTGGCACGATTCTGGCATGACAGGTGGCACGAGTCTGGCTTGACAGGTGGCACGAGTTTGGCATGACAGGTGGCCCGAGTCTGGCTTGACAGGTGGCACGAGTCTGGCTTGGCAGGTGGCACGAGTCTGGCTTGGCAGGTGGCCCGAGTCTGGCTTGACAGGTGGCCCGAGTCTGGCTTGACAGGTGGCACGAGTCTGGCTTGACAGGTGGCACGAGTCTGGCTTGGCAGGTGGCACGAGTTGACAGGTGGCCCGAGTCTGGCTTGACAGGTGGCCCGAGTCTGGCTTGACAGGTGGCACGAGTCTGGCTTGACAGGTGGCCCGAGTCTGGCTTGACAGGTAGCACGAGTCTGGCTTGGCAGGTGGCACGAGTCTGGCTTGGCAGGTGGCCCGAGTCTGGCTTGACAGGTGGCCCGAGTCTGGCTTGACAGGTGGCACGAGTCTGGCTTGACAGGTGGCACGAGTCTGGCTTGGCAGGTGGCACGAGTTGACAGGTGGCCCGAGTCTGGCTTGACAGGTGGCCCGAGTCTGGCTTGACAGGTGGCACGAGTCTGGCTTGACAGGTGGCCCGAGTCTGGCTTGGCAGGTGGCACGAGTTGACAGGTGGCCCGAGTCTGGCTTGACAGGTGGCCCGAGTCTGGCTTGACAGGTGGCACGAGTCTGGCTTGACAGGTGGCACGAGTCTGGCTTGACAGGTGGCACGATTCTGGCATGACAGGTGGCACGAGTCTGGCTTGACAGGTGGCACGAGTCTGGCATGACAGGTGGCCCGAGTCTGGCTTGACAGGTGGCACGAGTCTGGCTTGGCAGGTGGCACGAGTCTGGCTTGGCAGGTGGCTCGAGTCTGGCTTGACAGGTGGCCCGAGTCTGGCTTGACAGGTGGCACGAGTCTGGCTTGACAGGTGGCACGATTCTGGCATGACAGGTGGCCCGAGTCTGGCATGACAGTTGGTCCTAGTCTGGCTTGACAGGTGGCCCGAGTCTGGCTTGACAGGTGGCACGAGTCTGGCTTGACAGGTGGCACGAGTCTGGCTTGGCAGGTGGCACGGGTCTGGCATGACAGGTGCCACGAGTCTGGCATGACAGGTGGTCCTAGTCTGGCTTGACAGGTGGCCCGAGTCTGGCTTGACAGGTGGCCCGAGTCTGGCTTGACAGGTGGCACGAGTCTGGCTTGGCAGGTGGCACGGGTCTGGCATGACAGGTGGCACGAGTCTGGCATGACAGGTGGTCCTAGTCTGGCTTGACAGGTGGCCCGAGTCTGGCTTGACAGGTGGCACGAGTCTGGCTTGACAGGTGGCACGAGTCTGGCTTGACAGGTGGCACGAGTCTGGCATGACAGGTGGCCCGAGTCTGGCTTGACAGGTGGCACGAGTCTGGCTTGGCAGGTGGCACGGGTCTGGCATGACAGGTGGCACGAATCTGGCTTGGCAGGTGGCACGAGTCTGGCTTGGCAGGTGGCACGAGTCTGGCTTGACAGGTGGCACGAGTCTGGCTTGGCAGGTGGCACGAGTCTGGCTTGGCAGGTGGCACGAGTCTGGCATGACAGGTGGTCCTAGTCTGGCTTGACAGGTGGCACGAGTCTGGCTTGACAGGGGGCACGAGTCTGGCATGACAGGTGGCACGAGTCTGGCATGACAGGTGGTCCTAGTCTGGCTTGACAGGAAGCACGAGTCTGGCTTGACAGGTGGCACGAGTCTGGCTTGGCAGGTGGCCCGAGTCTGGCTTGCCAGGTGGCACGAGTCTGGCTTGGCAGGTGGCACGAGTCTGGCTTGGCAGGTGGCACGAGTCTGGCTTGGCAGGTGGCATGAGTCTGGCTTGACAGGTGGCAGGAGTCTGGCTTGGCAGGTGGCACGAGTCTGGTTTGACAGGTGGCACGTGTCTGGCATGACAGGTGGCACGAGTCTGGCTTGACAGGTGGCACGAGTCTGGCATGACAGGTGGCACGAGTCTGGCTTGGCAGGTGGCACGAGTCTGGCTTGACAGGTGGCACGAGTCTGGCATGACAGGTGGCACGAGTCTGGCATGACAGGTGGCACGAGTCTAGCATGACAGGTGGCACGAGTCTGGCATGACAGGTGGCACGAGTCTGGCATGACAGGTGGTACGAGTCTGGCATGACAGGTGGCACGAGTCTGGCTTGACAGGTGGCACGATTCTGGCATGACAGGTGGCACGAGTCTGGCATGACAGGTGGCACGAGTCTGGCATGACAGGTGGCACGAGTCTGGCATGACAGGTGGCACGAGTCTGGCATGACAAGTGGTCCTAGTCTGGCATGACAGGTGGCCCGAGTCTTGCTTGACAGGTGGCACGAGTCTGGCATGACAGGTGGCACGAGTCTGGCATGACAGGTGACACGAGTCTGGCATGACAGGTGGCACGAGTCTGGCATGACAGGTGGCACGAGTCTAGCATGACAGGTGGCACGAGTCTGGCATGACAGGTGGCACGAGTCTGGCATGACAGGTGGCACGAGTCTGACATGACAGGTGACACGAGTCTGGCATGACAGGTGGCACGAGTCTGGCATGACAGGTGGCACGAGTCTAGCATGACAGGTGGCACGAGTCTGGCATGACAGGTGGCACGAGTCTGGCATGACAGGTGGCACGAGTCTGACATGACAGCTGGCACGAGTCTGGCATGACAGGTGGCACGAGTCTGGCATGACAGGTGGCACGAGTCTGGCATGACAGGTGGCACGAGTCTGGCATGACAGGTGGCACGAGTCTGGCATGACAGGTGGCACGAGTCTGGCATGACAGGTGGCACGGGTCTGGCATGACAGGTGGCACGAGTCTGGCATGACAGGTGGCACGGGTCTGGCATGACAGGTGGCAAGAGTCTGGCATGACAGGTAGCACGAGTCTGGCATGACAGGTGGCAAGAGTCTGGCATGACAGGTGGCACGAGTCTGGCATGACAGGTGGCACGGGTCTGGCATGACAGGTGGCAAGAATCTGGCATGACAGGTGGCAAGAATCTGGCATGACAGGTGGCTGATCCCAACCTGTGGTGACAGGAGGAAGTAGCAGAGTAACGGGCTGGCAGGCCAGTAACTGTTCAGGAAGGGCCGAGGTGAACATGGGAGATAGTGACAAGTGGTCGACTTGGCCGACACTTCCTCTTAACACAGGTTGATACTGCATGTGTCGTATTCATTACTATAATTATGAATAATAACCCTGACACTAACAGTGGTTGTGAGACATGATACTTACTCCTATAGCAACAGTAACTATGATATATAACACGAACTGTTATGTAGCCGCCAGGACTACTTTTAAGGCTGTAATATCATCTCGAGGCTACGAAGAATTATTATTTAGAGAAGCTTCCAAAATGGAGCAAAAGAGTGAATACAAATGAGAAAGTCAGAAGGCTTTGTAATTTTTTAATTAAAAACAAAAATATACCAGCAAGTCGCAGCCATGTTACAACACGATAACTTTTTCGTCAGACTTTTGGTTGAAGATATTCGGTAACCTATCCTAGCCTAACTTAACCAAGCCTAGCATAGCCTAACCAAGCCTAACCTAACCAAGCCTACCCCCAAACAAGCCTACCCAAACCTAAGCTCATTGACAGTTAAAGAGATCAAATGACAACTCGGGCTCACAGTAGCCCGTGCTCCTTGGAAATTTTTGTACCAGGTAGCGAATCTTAAACAACAACAACAAATGACAAATATTAATTCTTAAACGTTGTCAAAATGTCCAACTTATTGAAATACTCGATAAATAGTTTACATAAATGTATAATATATTTTCTTTAAAATGAATGTATGTTAGTGGTGGAAAGAACAATATTAAGGGATTGTGGATGATGTGAAATGCAGAACAGGTTCTCTTCTCTCACTCCACTTGCAATATTTTGTTTATTACCTTCTGATGCTCAAGGTTTTCAAGTAGCACAAGTTGCATTTTGCAGACAAACCTATTCTATTCCTATTTTTGGCAAATATATGTATATATATATATAACAAACTGAAAACTCACACCCCAGAAGTGACTCGAACCCATACTCCCAGGAGCAACGCAACTGGTATGTACTTCTTCTTCTTCTTGATAGTAGGTGCAGTTTGCATGAAGGGTTTGTCCTCCCGATGACTGCACCAGTACAGATGTTGGTAGAGGCGTTTATGTTGAAGATGATAAGAGTTTCAAAAGTGCTTGTTGCGTTGTGCTGTAGACAGAGGAGCGGCGACTAAAACAGAGGTGGATGTTAGAGGGAGACTTGCCGCACCGTAGGGCGGTGTGTTGTGTTTATGGCGTCAGCTGATCCTTGGTGTTGCGATGAAACATTTGTTTTCTGTGTTTAGCTGTTGGTGGCGCCAGGTATAAATGTGGCGCGGGTCAGATGTGACCCAATTTGTTGGTCGATTGGAGATATTTAGCCAGTGCTTTGACTATTTGGTATTTTTCTTGTAACGAGTGGTCACCGCCTCCTAATATATGCTCGATGGTAAAGGGTATTTTAAGTGAGATAAGTTCTTGTTTGAAATTTACTCTGGCACTATAGTGTCGGAAGCAATGTAGGAGATAGTGTTCGATTGTTTCAGGCACCTGACAGTGGATGCAGAGTTCGTTGATGTCTGTTCTGTACTTAGAGCTTTGTGCTGCTAGTTTGGTGTGTCCCAGCCTTAATCTGGTCATCGCTATATCAATTTCTCTGCTTTTATATCTGACATGTTTCCAAGTTTCCCATTTCTTTTTAATGGACCCATAGTACAAAGGTGAGCATGACGTTTTCCATTTCGTCGCAAAATCTTGGGTGATGGTATTTTTGAAGGCTCCTTTACGTGCAACATGGGGAATTGGATGACGGGTAATGTGAGGTGTGTTGTGCATTGCTTTGGCTAGTTGATCTACTAGTTCATTATGGAGAATACCACAATGCGCTGGGACCCATTGGATAGAGGTATCATAACCGTTCAATCGATGTTCATGAAGAAGTTGAAGACATGGGTAAACAAACTCCTTGCACGTTTTTGAAGAGTACGTAATTGCTTGAATCGCACTCTTGGAGTCACTGCAGATTGTATATGTCCCGACTGGTAATGTTGTGATTATTTGGAGAGCTTGATATAAGGCATATAATTCAGCTGTGAAAACAGATAGTTGGTTTGGTAACCGCCATCCCTGCTTGAGATGGTATTCCGGTATCCATACAGCGCTAGTGACCGAGGGTACGTTGTTCTTGATGATGCGAGATCCATCTGTATAAATCGCTGTGGTATTTGGGTAGCAATTTTTCATTGTTGAGAGAAAGACTGAGGCTATGGCTGAGTTTGGTGCAGACTTTGGAATGTTGTCTTCGAGTTGTATTGCTGTATTAGGAGTTGTATAAAGCCAGGGTGGAATAGGGGGAACAGTAAGTTGGGTTTCCGAGTTTTGGAGTAGAGAGAGGTCTATATTGAGGTTATTTGTAGCCCGTGTGAGGAAAGGTTGTGAGTGATTGGTTGGGAAGCGGGGGTTATGTGGGTTAACTGTTGGGTTAATTTTTGATCTGTATGGGTGTGTCTGGTGAGCAGTGGTACAGAGTGACAGATAGTTGGCACACATTATGTCTCGTCTGGTGGCTAGGCTTGTGAGGCCCGTTTCCCCGTAAAGTCCGAGGATAGGAGTGGAACGCATTGCGCCACATATAAGTCGCATGGCATTGTTTTGGATGACCTCTAGGCTCTGTAGGTTGGTAGGCGCAGCCGATGCATATGCTTGGCAACAATAGTCTATTTGGCTGCGAATGTAGGTTGTATAGAAACGGAGCAGGATTTTATGGTGTGCTCCCCAGGTGGTGCCAGTGAGGGCTTTCAGTATGGCGAGTCGGGGTTGTGTCGTCTGTTTAAGGTGTTGAATGTGTGCTTTCCAGGTAAGTGAGGGCGAGTCTAAGTGCATGCCAAGGTATTTATGTTCCTGGACGTGGTGGAACGACGGTGTGTACTGGTATGTACATGACGCCTTAATCCACTTGACCATCACGACCGGACATAATGAGGTGATAGCCGAGGCTATTTGAACCACCCCACCGCCGGCACTCGGATAGTAATCTTCAACCTTGAATATTTAGTTACATATTTGCTTGGGGACCATTCAAGCTTGTTCGCATTTGTGTTGCTCACGTGGCCCCAACAAGTGGGGGGATTCGATTAAATATCTGTACAATGTAACCATGTGTTAAGTAGTTGTTGATTGCTGGTCTAAATTTTTTGATGTGTAGCGAGTCGCTGATGTCTTATGTTGTCGTTATACCTGTGCAGTATTTCAGTGTTGCTTGTTATGATGCCTCTGCTGATGGTCTGGTTCTGTGAGGAGATTATATGCTCCTTGGTGGAGCTCTGTTGCTTGCGCATAATCACTTAGAAAGAGAGAAAGAGACGGTGTTGTCTTGCCTACATACCAAGATCTTTGGGGCTAACAGTCTCAAAGTGGGCATGTGAAGGCATAGACTCCGTTGGTCTCTCTTAAGGCGTTATGCATTGTCTGGAGAGTCCTTCACAATCAAGTTGGCGGTCTTCTTATATATGTAATATATTATTAATTGCATCTTCTGATTTGTATCTGTGGGGATAACGTTCCTACCAATAATATCTTTATGAACTCTTTCCTCCGTTTTATAAACCGTGGACAAGAAGTTCCTGTAAAACAATCTAATACAAGGTATGGGTGTTGGGTTGGTTGACTCTTCAGAAGTTTGCATGACTTGTCACCTTTCTTTTAATGACGTCTTCAACATAACCGTTAGAGAAGCCATTATTGACTAGGACCTGCCTAACTCTCTAGAGTTCCTCGTCGACCTGCTTCCAACCAGAGTTGTGAGTGAGAGTCCAGTCGACGGAATCGTTGACAACACTCTTCTTTTACCTGTCTGAGCAGTCACTATTGGCATTAAGACACATTCTATTGTTCGTTTCCTTAGTGTAGACTGCAGTGTGGAAGTCACCATTCCTCTCCGTGAGTGTTACATTTAGAAAGGGCAGCTTCCCATCACTCTCCATCTCGTAAGTGAAACTTGACACTGAATTTTGATCGAATGCCTCTTTCAGCTGCTGCAAACGTCTGACATCAGGTACCTGAATAAAAATGTCGTCAACGTACCTGCAGTATATGGCAGGTTTCAAGTCCATGTCAACTAAGACCCTATGCTCTATGGTACCCATGTAGAAGTTCGCAAACAGGACACCTAGGGGAGAACCCATGGCGACCCCATCTACTTGCTTATACATGTACCCATCGGGACCCAAGAAGGGTGCCTCGTTAGTGCTGGCTTGGAGTAACTTCCACAGTATGCTTCTGGTATGTCTAGAGTGGTACAAGCCGGTTCACGGTACACTCTGTCCATCATCATCATCCTGATTATTTCGTCCACGGGTACGTTGTACCACAAGTGCCCGGGGTAAATATGCACCTATGGTCCTAAAAGAGGTTGGTGAGGTGATTAGGCAAACCTAGAGACTCAAGAGCGGACAGCTTCCTGTTCTTGCACATAAACCCAACATTAATCCATCGACAACAGCTGCATTAGATGCACATTCCAGAGTGACTACAATGATTAGAAAAGCCGTTGAAGAATGGGACTCACTAGTGAAAATTCTGCATCCAAGTTAATGTTATTAAAACACGACTAAAACCAGTACACTAAAACAGATGCGAAAATGAAACAGGAAAAAAGGAGGAATCTCCACCTCAATTTAAAACTTTGGCCCAAATATCACAGTAACAAGGTTATCGCGAATAACCGAACTCAATTACGGGCTCACCATAGCCCGTGCTACATGGACACTTCGTTCTGAGTAGCTAAATCTAAAACAACAACTGTTCTCACGCCTCAGTATCGCTGCGTATGGCCCACCCCTCCCTGGGGGAGGCCACACCTCCCTGGGGGAGGCCACACCTCCCTGGGGGAGGCAACCCCTCCCTGAGGGAGGCCACCCCTCATTGGGGG